TTAGAAAACAAAAAATAAAAAAGCTCCCCCATAAACCGACATTGTCTGAAACTAAAAATAACATAAAGTTGCAACAAGTGGTGCAACCAGAATACTAACGTAAAACATAAACTGCTCCCCCACAACCTTAGATCCTTCTACCACTCATTCTTCGTCATTTTCTCCCCCTGCTTGTGAGCACACGGATTAAAAACAACAGAAAACAACAGGAAACAAGCAATCAAATACCAAAAGAGAGAGAGAAGGAACCTGGAACCGAGTTCTGAAGTTCTTGGACAACATCAACCAATGTCTGAAGAACCCGAGTCGTGTCCTGTAAGGCAGACTGCAGATCTGCCCTAGTAAGTACACCCTGAGGAACAGCAATCGAACCCAACTCGTATACAGAAATTCGGCGTGGTCTTGTGCCGGAGCTTGGTGTAGGAGTTGGTGAAGCAGATGCCCGCAGCCAAGACAAACGAGCAGACTTCCTCACTGAACCTTCTTCCTTGGCTTTTCCCTTAGCCTTCCGTTGTTCGTAAATCTCTCCCACTCGCTTGTCTTTCTTGTAGGCAATTGCACGATCAACCTTATCATCAGATTGAGATGGTACCGGATGCTGCTTCTGAAGGAGTCCCATGATTAGCCGAGGAAAAATCAGCCAGCGTGAGTCGTTCTTCTGGATCACTCCCAAGTTCATGATTTGCTTGTAGATCAGCTTTCCCATGTCCACGCGGATTCCATGAGCCATCTTGTAGATGAGTCTTGCTCTGTCAAGGGACACATGTGTCTTGTGTGTAGATGGAATCCAGTTGTGAGCTGCGATAATCATAAGAGCCCCATAGCATGGTGTCAGATCTGCAGTGGTGAGATGATCCCATTCCTTTCGAGTCCCATTCGTGAGAAACTCNNNNATTCCTTTCGAGTCCCATTCGTGAGAAACTCGGCTAAGACAGTGGCCGATGCTTCATCCATGACTGCTTCAATGTCTTCTTCCTCAGCAGTAAGTGGCTCAAGACCGAGAGTCTCGTTAATTATCATTGGAGAGAACTTGTATGGGTGGTTGCGGACAGTGACAATCACCTCTTCAGTATCAGCTTCCACCTTGGTGTTGGGCAAGCCTGCGTAGAACTCAGCCACAATCTGTTCAACAAACACTCCAAGAGACGAGACAGTGGATTCCATTGACCCTTTTTGGATAATCGCAAGATAACCCCATTGATCCGTTTCCTGCATGTCAACCAATCTCTCAGCAATCACCTTACGTTTCAGGAACAGATCATACCTCTGCTTAATTTCCACAGGAATGAGAACACCAGTCTCCTCACTCTGCCTTCTGGATTTACTACGAGATGACTCAGCTTGTACTTCAGGCACAGATGGAGAAGACTCTCCCTTTTTCTGCCTCTTGGAGGAACGCAATCTCAGACGCTTCAAGACACGCTTTTTCCTACTGGACTTCTCAGACGTGTCTTCAGAAGTGGA